CTGAAGATTGGGCCGACTGATTTGCATGAAATTTGGCTCGAGTGTACTTGACGTAACGTGGATTATAGGAAAAATATAAGTAAGAGCTAAAATAATATTCACTGCCCGCAAATTCACGGGGAAATAGGGAATTTTATGCTTTTCCCATAAAGTCAATCATAGCTTTATGGCAAGTGCACATTTTTACGCAAGCAAAGTTGGTTGTGTATTTTAATCTGCTGAACTCAAATCTAAGCAAAAAGCGTCTTCGGTTTATGATTTTTCCGGAAAAATCGATTGAACCCTAAAAAACGTGACTTTTGGTGGTAAAATGACAATTATTTTATTTTGTTGTTAAATTTTCCAGTATTCTTACATAATTTTTAATCTCAACCAAGAATTTATCAACAAAACTAAAAATTATCAAATTTTTCCCCGATGTAATTGCGGAAAATCCCTATTCAGAAAAAAACATTCACACTGAAATTTGAATTATGCAAAATATTATCCTTATCGTAGTTAAACAATTGCTCGTAAAAACTATTATATAATTGAACATTGCTTGCGGAAAACAATTTTCCCTTGCTATAAAGCTCTGATTCACTTTGTAGCAAAAAGTGCAAAATTCCGTATTTCCTCATAAATTTGGCGGCTGTGGAAATTATTTTTAGGTCTTACATATATTTTTCGCTTATTCTACATTACGTTAAGTATAGTCGCGCAAAATTTAATCCCAATCAGTTGGCCCAATCTTGAGTTATTAGGTTTAAGGACAAGAATTTTTTTCCACACTGTGACTTCATGTGATATTATGAACAGAAAATGGAGGATAGAGCGCCAGCTTGCAGAATGCTGGTAATAATGATTTCTAATTTGTAAATGTTTTAGCTTGAACTGAGCTGAGTTTTTCGAAAAGAACTGAAGTTTTATGGATTCTTCATAATTCTCTCTTTGCTTTGCTGACTCGGACAAATTTCCTGCTGTACTAAACACGTTTTTTTCTTTCTTTCCAGGTGGCACGATGCAGCTTTCGGTAAGTTTGGCATTACGTTTCCCCTGGTTGCCATATAGTTGTAGAACTTTTAGTCCCATATTATTGACTTGTATTTTATTACATTGTTGCAATTAATATTTATTCGACGAGGGACGACGAGGGAGTTTTTGGATTCGGTATTGGGTTTGTGAAATTTTTCATTTTCCTTCAGAAAAGATTAGATTTTTAATAGGTCACGGTTGTCTAAGGCAGAGATATTTTGTATCAATTTTGGTGTTTTTATGTTATTAATTACAGTCGAAACTAAAGGGTTCTTGCACTTTAATAGGGATTGCTCAGATCCAGCAAATTTAACTTTTTTGCTCCGTTTTCCACCGATTTCGATGGTCAGAGTTGTCACGTAAAATAATCTATTTTATTAGTGGTTTTCTACTAGAATTTTGCTGCTGTTAAAGTTAATGATACCCCAGAATGCAGACTAAAGCGCCTAAAGGTCATAAAATATATTTATAATATACAGTAAAGTCCGCTTATAATGAACCCGGTTATAGTGAACTTTCGATTAAAACGAACTTTTTTCCTTTAATTGAAACGTCGTCCATAAAGACCAACGTATTTTTTTACTGGTTATAACGAACCCGTTTATAACGAACTTCC